CAGAAAAAAAAGGTATTTGGTTTTCTTTCGTAGATTTTTGTTTTGTTGAAAAATTCATCAAATTGATTATGCAAGCAAAACAGTTTTTCTTTTTGCTTTTTTCTGTAACTGTTTCAAACGAGAAAAATGTTTTGTAACTGGCAGAGATTACAAAAAGAAATTAACAGTTTTTAACTTCTATTTGTACAAAGATGTCGTCAACTCTTTATGCAAACACTGATAAGTCTTCAGTTTTGAACACATTCAAAAATTTTCAATTATCATCATTGCTTCTTTTTGAAGTATGGAGAAGAGTAGGTACGTGCCAGAATCTGTAAGCAGAAACAGAGTATCAATTTTGACAAACTGATTTCAGAAACAATTAGTTCTGGCGAACAAAAGTATCAATCAAGTTTTAAGCAAATTAAAATTCTTCTAATTTCTTTCTAAATTTTTTAGTCGATAATCACTATTGACAATGAATGACACTTATCAATTATTGGCATTAAATATTACTGTCAAAAAAAAAAAAAAGTATGGTTCATTTAACAAGCAGCGTAAATTTCTGAAAACTTTGCAAGATTTTTACGTTTTGCAGAAAACAGTTCAAATACTCAGCAGAAAAAATGTTGTTTAAACTAACTGTAATTAGCTCTACAAAACGAGGAAAAAAACAATAGTTGTTGTTTCATTCTAATAAATATGAAAAAAAAAACCAGAAAATTTTCAATTTAAAATTTACAAAAATAGGAAATTCTCAGTGAGGTGGCACTGTTTCCATCAAATAGCGCCTACAGCTTCAGGCACTGTTTCCGATAAATAGCGCCTACTACTTCAGGCACTGTTTTCAGTGACGATAAAAAATTCAAAACTTTTGAAAAAAAATTATTTGTAATAAAAATTTACAAAAGACAAATGAATGAACAGATATGAAGAAAAAAGCATTTTATAGTTAGTTTCAGATCATAGCTTATTACTGCAGAGTAATACAAATACTAGTCATAAAGCTTCAAAATACATAACGACTTTACTGCTCACAAAGGTTTTTGTTTCTTCTAATCTTATCCTATTCCTCTGCCTTATTGCTCTCCTCTTTGTACTCCTCTTCCTTCCTCTTTTGCCACTTCTCTTTTCGGAAATCTTATCTTTAGTAACAACTAATTTTATTGGAATCGTTATTCTTCTAAAAATGAGCAACTTTTTTTTTTTTGAATGCCGTCAACTGCTGCTGTAAAATTATTTGTTTTAAACAACTATGCTTTGTTTATTCAGTTTGGGAAATAAAAGAATAAAGTTTAATTTATTGAATAATTTCGTCATTGATCATCTCTATTCGTCAATTCATTCATTCATTCGTTCATCCGTCTACGCGTCCATTCATTAATTCATTCATTAATTCACTTATTTGGTTCGTATTTCTGTGTGATTGTTTTCGTTCATTTAATCATTCATCCATCCACTCATTTATTCATTTATTCGATCACTCACTCGTTCATTCATTCATTCATTCATTCGCTCGTTCATCCACTCGTTCATTTAGCAATTTAAAATTGTTAATTGTATTATAAGGATACAAATGGCGGGAACTGATACTAGCACTTTTGTTTTCTTCCTTATTTATTTGTTTTTCTTTTTTTTTTTTTTTTTTTTTTTTTTT